TTCTCTAATTTGTTATTTTTCCTCATCTCAAGTTTCCCTTTTCACTGAATCATAGAAAAATAGGACTGAAAACGACCTGAAAAGGTCATATAGTCCATCCCCTCCCCCTAGGCAGGATCAACTGTCCCTATATCATTCTTGACAGATGTTTGTCTAACTGGTTCTTAAAAACCTCCAGTGATGGAGATTCCCTAACATCCCTAGGCAACCTAGGCCACTCTCCTTAACATTAGAAAGGTTTTTGTAATGTCTGACCTAAGCCTCCCCTACTGCAATTTAAAGCCATTACTTTCTTCTCTCTTCCATTAGGGCCATATTTTTGCCCTTGTGGTTTGTCCAGGCTTGCTATAAAATCAGTAACAGTTCTGTTGTCATAAAGGACATCCTTCTCCCAAAAGTTTGTTCTCTGTTTCCACATAGTTACTCTTTCCTTAGCTTATGCAAAATATCTTTCTACTCTGTCACTATCCTGTAACTTTCTGGATGCAGGTAACAACATGCTTGATTTCATAAGGAAGTTTTACTATAGGTTTCCAGTCAATCATCCCAGGAGTAGGAATATACTACATACATAATTTAAGAACAAAATTCAGTTTTGCAGACCTAATTCATTCTTCACCTTAGCAAGTATCAATCAAGACTATCTTCATTGCTGGCAGCAACATGTAAAACTGAAGTAAAAGAGATAAGAATCAGGCCCTTTCCATTTTCCACCTCAGTCTCAAAAAGTATTAGGGTCCATCTTATGCTTCTCATATTCATCCTATTTCTCTAGCTGTAGTGTGCATACATACATTCCTGCCAGATACTGATCAGAGATGCATACAGTCATCATTCTCGGCGTGTCTCCTATATCCACCTACACAGAATGGCACTTAGAGCAACTGCTTCTGTAATTTCTGTGCCTCCTCCTGTCTTTGGATGGAAAATGTGCAATAGTCATAAATATAATTCATATCGTACGTGTCCAAAATTGGGGAAAAGTCAGCTATTACAAGTTTGAATTGATTCTGTCATCTAGAATCTAATTCATAATCTAATCGTTGCTTCTCCTTAAGGCTATTTCTGGAATGGAAATTATAGTGGATGAAAAGAGACAGAGTATTTTAATGCAATTTCATGTCATAGATAACCATCATTGTCTTTAAGCAGGACATTTACAGCTTAACCATCATGTCTGTAAAACAGGGGATGTGCTGGAAATTATGCAGCGATGTAAAGATGGCATCCACCTTCCCTCCCTGGTCAGTCTTTAAGGTGACCTTTCTGCTTCTCCAACCCCACTGTTTCCTTCTCCCTTGCAGGAAATGAACTAGAAACCAGCAAACTGTAAATATCTATTACACATTGGTGGTTCACGTGAGGTCACTCTGCACGCAGACTTCACTAGCCATACCCCTTTTGCCCAGCTAAATTTTGAGAATTCCCTACATTTGACAAAAAGCTTCTGAAAGCTTCAAATGGCCTTCTGACAAGGCAACTGCAGAGCTTCTGGACATCCCAGTTATTTCACAAATACATTTGCAACATGCACTGTACATTTGCAAAGAATCAAACATTTCGTAGACTTAAACAGCATACCGTGCACGTGCTCCATAATGGCTGTGACTGTGCATGGGTGATGCAGGCACAACTAGAAAGTGCAGATATACACTCAGGTGCTTCTAGGAAGCATGAGATTTAGTGTGTATTTGCTCAGGAGTTGATCTTTGCAGAGACAGGATATCCATTGCAGCCTGAAAGTGTTGAATTTACTGTCCATGTCATACATGATCATGTATTTCTGTCTGGGAAACACTCATGGGAAATAACATAGAATCATAAAAAATTAAGGCAGGGGGTCAGAGTTCAAGAGATTATCCAGTCCACCCTGCTGTTCTCAGACAGAGCTGCTATACCAATATTTGTCTAACTTCCTGCTAAAAATCTTTTCCTCTCTTAGGTATTCTGCAGCCTTTCCCAGAAATTTATACCAGTGATTCACTGCCATGTTAGCAAGCTTTTCTCAGCATCTAATTTGAAACTCTCAAGTTGTTGTGCCTCTTCCGGCCCACTGCAGGAAAGAAAGACAGTCTCATTCTCTCCTCTTTTCATTATTCTTGCCTGTATTTGAGATGGGTGTCATATCTCACTCAATTTTCCCTTCTGCAAATCACATGTAAGTTCATTCTAGATAAGCATAGGTTTCAGACAACTCCTAGGCCTTCAGTCACCCTAATTATTCTCCTTCAGTTGGTCTAGATTTTTCCTTGTATGTGGCATCCAGCCCTGGTCGCAATGCCCCTGCGTAAACCTTCCCAGTGCTTAGTAGAAGAGAGGTACTGCACGTACGTTGCAGATGTCACTCCTGCTCATAACAGCTCAGTATGGAAGCTGCCTTTGCTCCATTTTAACAGCCTGATGTTGTTGATGGGATGTTTAAATTGACAGGATCATTTTTAATTCCAGTCCTGTGTTCCAGCATATCAAAAGTCCTTCCAAGCATGGTATCAATGCGTGTAAGCATATCATTTCTTCTCCATCATCAGGTCATTAAGAAAATACTGAGTAGTGCCAGAGCCAGGACAGTCACCATTCATGCACACTTCTGTTTTGACAGTGAGCTGTTGATAACTATCCTCTCAGTTTTGTTCTCTAACTATTTTTGCATTCGTTCTGCAGTAGTTTCATTTAAGCTATGTTTCCTTGGGTTATAAAGAATGTCATGCAAGGGAGTGTCAAGAGACTTGTAAAGTCAAACCACCTACTGCTTTTTCCCTGTCCACAAGGCCAATTACCCTGTCTTAGAGGGAGATCAGATTGGTTTGACACAGTTTGTTCCTAACAATCCTTGTTGTCTGTTACTACCTTGTTTTCTTGCAGGTGCTTAAAAACTGTTTGATTATTTTTGTCAGTACTTTTCCAGGGGTTGAAGTTGACTGGTCTATAATTTTGCAGATCTTTCTTTTTAAAGATAGCCAGTACATTTGCTCTTCTGTCATCATTCAATACCTTAGCTGTCCCTGCAGATAAACACTAACATCTTTAAGACTGTTCCAACCAGTCTGAAAGCATCTAGCCCAGCTAAATATAATATTTTCCTTCCCTCACCTAGGCTGAAATCTTTAACTTTTCCAGAGACTATGTCCAATAAGAGACTGAAGCCCCAATGCCTGCCTGCATGCACTCCAGTTTCTGAAAGCTGTAGTCTGCAGATGTGTGGGCTTGATGCTGGGTCTGCAGCAAGGCCATTGCTGCAGTGAGGAGGGCAGGCAAGCCTCCTTCCCTACAAGCAGGCTGCATCCTATAGCACATGAATGAACAGTCTGAGTTAGGAGCTATCCATAAATAAAATCCAACCCTTAGTCAAAAGGTTTGTAAAGATGCCCAGTGCTTGTATGCATTAGAGACCTGGAAGTCTTTCAATCACCTTCTTTACTATCCCTTTGATGCAGTGTCTTTTTTAAAGAATTGTTAAAAACTCCTCACGTTAATAAAGTGTGCCTGTTTATTGATCCCTATTAAATTCAGAAACTGGACGTTGACTTACACAAATAATTTTCATCATAACTAAAGAGTAACTCAAAGCTGCTAGTTTCATTTTGTATTATATTATTCCATGTGGGAAGTAATGGAAGGAGGAGTTGTAATTTTTCTCCAGTCTTAAGCAGATCCATAACAAGAATAATGCCATTAAAATTGTTAGTGTATTCTACAGAGAAGTGTCATCTTGAATGTGATCGGATACATTTATCTACTATGCCATATAATTTTTCGTCCACTTAATATCAGTCATTTCTATGTGTTCCAGGAACATATTCTATATAATTTGAATACCCTTAACTAATTCAGCACCTTTGGTATTTTACTGGACAGACTACTTCAGAAAAAGATAAGAGTTCATACACCTTAGAATTCAAGAATTAGATTTACATTATTGACTTTGAGAAAGGCCAAATAGCCCTTTGTCTTCTCTGCTTCCTGAAGACTCAGTGAATGGCTTTCACTTAAAAGTGAAGTCTTTTAGTACATTTTTTGCAACCTTTTTGGTCAAGATCAAGATCAACACAGTATAAAGCTATAAAAAGAACCAGCCATCTTAGTGTATTGGCATTGGGTGTTACTGTATTAGTAGGTTCTGATAAGGTTGTACCAGACTACAAGAAGTCAGTACAAAACTCTAAGATCTTCATTCTCTCTAAAGATTGCTCTTCAGTTTTATAGGCAGTTTTATGTAAAAATCAGTAGCAGAGAATGAGCTTAATTTTTAAGCCCACATGAAAGTTCATTATAGGCAGAAAGGGATTAATGGTTCCTTCTTTTCCCCTAAAGAAAAAACAAAGGCTCTACAGTGTTGTAAAGTTCATAAAACTAGATGCATATATAGCAGTGTATCATTTGCATCTATGATTACTTGCCAGACTTCTTAGGCATGTATTACTTGACCCGCAGTCAAATATGGGTCTTGACTCTGGTGTGAACAGGGTTTAGAAGCTTCTGTGTGTGCACTAGGAAAGGACAATTTATGGATTGAGAAATAAGATTCCGATATTTGAATTTGTTTACTCGATCCAATGTCATAAAGCAAATAATCTCTCTCTTATAGTCTTCCCCCTATCTTCTCCTCCACATTCCTGACGGTAGGAAAAGACCTCTCTGAAACAATGCTGATTTATATGAGAATCAATGTAGAAAGTAAAGGTCTGACTGCATGAGTCAGAAAACAGGTAAGGATTTTTTAAATCAGTGCTGCTAGGAATGTCAGATATCTCCCATTTCGAACAAGTATTTAGCTGGTAATTAGATTAAGTAACTGATTAAACTGAGCAAAAATGGAAAGTCAGAGCGTGAGGCAGTTCAGATTGCTCCTGCTTTAACCCTCTGTCGTCTAAACTGAGTCTGTGGGATTTTATGTTCCTATGGGATTCGTTCCCTGGAAGTAGAAGGGTGAGATGGTGCATTGAAAGTTTCTTATTACTGCTTCATATTCTAAATACTTATTTTTACATTTTAACATATAGCTCCATCAGCCCTCCCAGACGCAAGTGGGACAAGCAGCCTCACAACCTAATCTCCTGCATTTGGCTCACAATCAAGCATCTTTGTCTCAAAGCCCAGTGCGTCAGGCTTCCTCTTCTTCCTCCTCATCCTCCTCCTCTTCAGCTTTGAGTGTTGGCCAGTTAGTCAGCAGTAAGTATTGCTCCCTGGCTCTCCTTACTTCTCCCTCTGTTTGTCCTTGTCACTGCTGAGTTTCCTGATCTACCTTCCCTCCTTTTTTTTTTTTTTCTTCCATATAATAGATTGTTTATTGTTAATTACACTTGCCAATAAGGACTGATAAGAGCCATGATGGATGGGTCTAAGGGTAAACATGCCTTGAGAAATTGCGCACTAAAAATGGTCATAATAATCCTAGCAGCCCTTTAGCTGACTTTGTTGACACTGGGTGATTCTTAAAACTCAAATGTACTTTATATTCATTGGAAATGAGAAATTTTTGCATCAGTCAGTATAATGGATTGTACTGTTCAAATATGATGGGCATCCCCTCCTACTTTTTAGCTAGGCTGCTTGTTCTTTAGTTTACTTACATTACTGTAGCAGACTGCTTTACAAACCCAAGCACCATACAGGTCTAGAGCGAGAGAACTTCCTTGCCAAGAAAAGCTTGCACAGTTCAAACAAGAAAGAGCTCTGACGTGTGGACGGGGAGAGAGAAGCCTACTGAAATGGAATAACTGAGTTGCAGCGTTAGGATTTTAACAGCTTATCTCCTAACCAGGTCCTTTCTTCAGATCATATAGATCTTGGTACTTCGCTATCAGTCTAGTATTAGCTTTGATTTTTACATAGCAATAAAAACAGGTTAAAAGTATAAGAAGCATTAATAGTTTTTGCAAACTGCAAAAATTTGAGTATATTGGATGACTTTGTTCAAAGATACTGCATGTACTTTTTCAAGTAAAAAAAAAAAACAGTATAACAGAAGCCATACTGAGCAGGATGTAAAATATATGACTGAGGCAAGCTTATGAAGAGTTTAGAAAAACTGTCATGCAAAAGACTTGAAAAAATCTTGGTTGGATTACTTCAGAGATTCTTTACATGGGGAAATGACTAGCAGAGGAATAGTGGTAAAATTATGCTGGTATAGCTCCCAGTGTGAATATTTTTATTCTGGAATAAAAACATCTACATGAGTAGCTGTAAGTACATAAAATATATATAGATATAATTATGCTGATATAAACATAGTGCTATTGCTCTGCCAGTAAATCGTCTCATGTAGACAAGCTTGTAGCAAGACAAAAAAGATGCTACGTGTTAAAAAAAATACATAAAGTTACCCTTGCCTGTGTGGGAAAATTGACTAACATAGCTAGTGCAGAATAAGTTACTTCTCAATGGCTGGTCCAGAATAGCCTTCCTTGTGGCCATTCTGATTCAAAAAAAAAAAATTTAGAATAATTGTTGAGGGGTACTTTATCCCACAATAATTTCTCCAGTCAATTTCCCCGTGTAGATAAGATCGCTCCACAATAAAAGCAACATGGAAGAAGCCTTTTTAAGCTTACAAGGCAAATCCGTCAAAAATCAGGAGGTGCTAGAAAAGAGTTGCTTATGCAACAGCATTCAACTCCTCTTGTAACATGTATTTTATTATATTGATATATGTTGTGATTAAAATAACACCCTATTTTTTTCTTGTGCTTCATTGAGTTTGTTCCCAATAGATTTGCTCTAAAGATGAAATCAGACTTATATAGTGAAGGAGGCCGTTGTCCTAGGGTTTGTTCCCTGCCTTATTCACTAAACTCCTTCCAAATTTATATAACATTTGGGACCAGGAATGAGAGAAAGGCGAAAGATGGTCTTGGTTCAGGCAGTAGAGGGCTGAGAAACTGGAGCGCTCTCTCTGCCATATAATTTCAGTGCAATGTCACTCAAGTAACTTAAAACATATTTTTCACAAGTGCTGCTTCAATATCCATCTTGGATTTTAATTTACAGAAGAACCTGGCATTCGTAGTTACTATCCAAAGTACACTTTCACTGTTGAGGCATATAAAACACCATTTAAAGCCAGAGTCTAATAATAATTTCCTACTTGACCTAGACTGGGTATCCAAAATGCTTTTCTTCCTTTGTGTTTGTCAGCTTCTTGGTGAATGAGAAGAGGAAGACTCTTCTTGTAGGAAGAGGAAGACTCTTCTTGTAGAAGACTCTTGTAGAAGACTCTTCTTGTAGAAACACAGGAAAATAAATTAAGATGTTTTAAAAAAATAGAAAAACTTGAGAGGAAATTAATAACTATGTCTTTCGTGAAGAGCTTTAGCAGAGGCCTAGGGTCATGCTCCGAACAAATGCAAAGTCTCTCTACAGTGAAGCACAATTCATTCTGTGCACTGAATAAGGCCGGGGTCTGTGGGAAAAGAACTGGCAATCCCCTGCTCAAAGACTATGTGACACTGTTTTGTGGGCTACTGTCACTCCAGCATTATGCAACTACTGAGTGTTTATTTGCGCTACTTTAAGGATGTTCTTTTAGCTTCATTTTTGCATAGTCATGTATTGAAATGATGTTTACACTCATAGCTGGAAATATTAGATCTTCTCAAGACAATTGAATGAATAGAAAAGTTGATAGATTGTGTTATCCTCCTGTTGGTCCTACTCTAAAAGAGAAAAGGATACATACTATGTTCATGCATTTGGCTGAGAGTAGCATAGACATAGATCTTTCTTACTTATTCCTCTCAGGCTCAAGTCCTTACATCACCTGTTCAGTTCCCATCCTGTTTCTGCCTCACCCTTCATTCCCTTTGCATTCTGCCTTCATTCCTTTTGCATCAGTCCTTTTCATGTGTCTTCACACTTCACCCCTTTTCCTTCAGTCAGATGACCCTTGATTCGTCTTCCCATTTAAGTTCTTCTCCATATCCCAATTGGATTCTGTCCCGAGATTTATCAGACCATCTCAGTGTTTCTTTAATTTGCATTTTTGTCAGATAATCCCTGTCATCATCTTCTACATTGTTTTATTTACCTTGCTACCACCTCTCTTGCCCCATTTTACTTCCTCTACCCCAGTGATTCTTTCTGTCTTTCTCTGCGCAGTCAGTCCCTCTCTTCTTCTACTTCACAATGAAATCCCTGCTACTTATTAGGAGCTTGTACTTCCTTAAGGCAGATTTTTGGGATGACAAAAAGTTAACCGCCTTGACACCTATCAAGATATTAGGAAATTGAAGCTTTTTAAAGGAAAGAAGTTATTAGATTCCTTTTTCTTTATCCTGAGCAAAACAGGTTTATTAACCTTATTCTCAGAAGTGGTTGAATTATACTGTCTGAAATTCATTTCTCTATGGGAAATCTCACTTAGCCATAGTCAATACCCTACCTGTTGTAACAAATGGCACAGAGAAGATAGTTGAAGAGTTTGTTTTCCCTTGCTTAAAACAGAAGATCAGCTCACTTAGAGCAAAGACAATATTTTTCATACAATTAGACTGAGCAATATCTCATGGCTGGGAATTCACAGGCACCTGGATCTTAAGAGCATTCTGAAAGAGAATGGATATCTATAGAGATACACTAAAAAAAAAGCGTGTAAAGAATTAATAGGCAAACAGGTTCTGGAAGTGATATCTATCACTTCACACACACCAGGGCTTCATCTAGGACCTCATTATTTGAGACCAACAAAGTAATTGCACTGGGCAAATCAGCTTTTTTTTCTGATGCCCATTGCATGGAGTTCTCACAGAGTCAGAAACTAAATATGTGTACTAAACTCAATGATCCTTGATAGTTGTCCAGCATATTTCTAATAACATTTACACAAGAGAAATTGCAGGAAATGCTGAATGTGTAAGCCTGCTTAAGACTGCATGTAAGATACTGTTGCTGCAGGACCCGAGGAGCAACAGCAATGTTGCTTTCTAGGCTCTAAAAAGAGCCTATAAAAAGAATAAAATCCAGTTAGTCCAGTAAGGAGAGATCAAACCATATATAACACTTCATATATAATGAAGCATGAGAAGACAGATGAGATACTTGACAGTTTTTCATAGCCATTGACAATGCCAACTTTTTAGAGAAACGATCTTAACTGATCTTCACAAATTGGAAAATTGCTTCAGATGACTGAAAACCAATGTGTATGCAACTGGGCATGAGCCCAGGGAAATGAGCAGACCCTCTCTGCTTTTCTGCCTTGCAAGGTTCTGGGTATCCACCCCAACGGGCAGGTGCACCATGTGCCTGTCAGCTCTCCACGACTAGCGTACGGCCAACAAGGCCTTCCTCACGTCCCCGCTCACAAACTGCCTATCAGAGCTTTGTGTAACACGTCTGCACCCGAAGTCCAGCATCTACTGAAGTCCACTCAAAGCCTTTTAGTCGGATGAGGCTGCAATGGGTCACTTGTCCTGAAAGAAAGCCATAGGGCATGTGGCCAGCAAGAAACAACTTGAGACCTCTTAAGCATCCGTTTGAATGCTCTGGCCCTCCTAAAGCAACAACTTTCTTGTTTCTTTTTTCTTTTTCATTCTAAAGCTCCTCTCTATCCCTCCAGTAGAGGCCCCAGAGTTGAATATGTCAGTAAAGATTTGCTGTATTCCAGGAACTATTGCTAAATATAGTAAAGTTCAGGTAAACCAGGCATATTCTGCTACCTTTATGTGCTTATAAGAAGGAGGACTGGCACATTGCTTAGAGGAATGTGACTTCAGTAATTTAATAATTATTGGAGGTAAGGTTCTGCCACACTTGCTCAGAGAGACTCTCTCTGCAAGTAGCTGCCTGACATCAGTGAAATTACTAAAATACTGTGCAAAAAGGGACAGAATTGGGTCTTAATAGCTTTAGAGTTCCATGTTTATTTCCTTTTATTCTAGGTTCTAGATTGGGTAAGTAATGGATAAAGATTGGATAAGGAATGAAAGGATAAGCATCCTTTCATTCTAGGTTCTTTGATTTCTAGATTCTAGAAAATCATGTTTATGATTGTGTTCTCTTTTCTTTGTTTAGTGTTCTTCACTCAATTCTACATTATCATTTCTCCTTTTTCAAGTCTCATTTCCCTCTTCTCAAATGCATCCTTTCCCTTACCTTTCCCATTTTATGTTCCCTTCATGGAAATCACTGCTTTTCCCACCTGCTCAGAGGCTTGTGGCTCCATGAAGTTCCTTTCATCCTTTCAAATTTAGTTTACTGTCATTTGCTCCTATAAAATTGAAATGCTTCCCACAAATAGATCCTTCTTTCTCTCCCCTGAGCCCAAGCCCATTTTCCAATAACAGTGTCTCATCCTGCCTCCTGCCCAATTTATGTTCAGCTGGACTTCCTTTGCCAGCTACATCTCCTTCTGTCTGCCTGGGGAATGCATTGCCTGTAACCCCCTGTCATGGCAGAACTCTGCACATTAGAAATGTGCTTTTTTCTTCAGGGTGCACTGATTTCTCTCTTAAGCAAGTCTTTCCCATAACTATTAAAATCAGAGCAAACCTGCGCTCATCAGAACAAAGCTAAGTCATGCAGCATTTTCAGAAGAATTCAGAAGTGGGAGTAGT